GTGTGCGTGTGCGTGTGCGTGTGCGTGTGTGTGTGTGTGGTAAGCAACTTTGTAGTAGAATACAACATACATGCCGTACAACCAATTCAAAACGACATGTCTTCACTATCCAGTTTGGTCAAGTCTCCTTTTCCACTGACATCAGCATAAATGCCTCAAGTTGTTCTGCTGTTATTGTGCTTCGGAGACGGGTTTTGATTCTCTTCAGGGCAGAAAACAACCGTTCGTATGCAACCTGCGACAGAGGCAGGGTTAGTAGTAGCTTCTAAACAACCCCAATGCCTTTGTAAGAATCAGTGAAGAGGCTCCACTTGAGTAGCACCTTGTAACAGCAGAGAGGGCAAGCTTTGCATGAGATACATGTAACCATTCTCTGATGTAACAGTGGAACTTGAAACACTTTGTGTGCTCAGTTCTGATTCACAGTCAATATCGCTGTCTTTCACCTTATAGTGGTCTGCAACTGACTGCTGCGGTGATTTCCATTGTTCTCCAAGGCTTTGCAATTCTGTTTGCAACTCTTCAGCTGTGGCGCTATCGTCAAATCTCAGTAAATACTTTTGCAGCTCTCTCTGACCGACTCTCTCATAGCCTGTGATGGGACTTCACCGAAGTTTCTTGGATGAAGAAGGGATAGGTTTGCAAACAATCTAGGCGCTGCAGATCTTTTAAATCTTTGTTCAATGCTGTTAACAAGGGTGTCTGCTATTCGATTGTACACTTCAACACGATATTTCTTCATTGGGTCAGCTGTTGATGTAGTTTCATCTGTACAGAATTCATTATCCATTCGTCTGCGTCGTCTTTGCCGTTTCAAGAGAAGCGACTCTTCCACGAACGAATCTGACCCCTCTCCCCCAGTGTATCATTCACCCACTGAACAAACTTTGCAGCTGCATTTTGAGTAGCTACGAAGTCCACCCTGAGGGCCGGCATGTTTGACAGCAACTCCGCCACCATCTTGTATACAATCAGAAGGTCCAATTGCACGGTTTGCAGATACTTACAAAGAGCTGTAGTGCATGAAAATATTTGCAAATACACTTGCGCTGTGAGAACTGTTTCAAATTTGAGTAGAGCATCAATGTATCCTCTTACTTTAACTTCAACGACTGCTTGGATGTTGTCAGCAAAAAGTATAGCGTTGAGGCTGGTGATTACTTCAACAAACAGAGCTTTGGATGGATTGTTGAAAGAACCAAACACCTTCCTCAAGGCAGCATCTTTTGACATTCATCTGGTCTTACCAATGGTTCCCAAAAGCTGCATAGTTGTCGAGTGCCTGCTCCAGATGTTCATCCGCTGATAAGACTCCCGAAAGAACACTGCAATGTCGTTCATCAATGTAAATAATGATGCACTGTTCACTACAGCACTTGTGGCCTCCGAAACAACAAGATTCAATACATGAGCGTGGCACCAAACACTGATCTGCTTTGGAGCTTTGTTTGAAAGCCGAGTACTGAAACCTCTATATTGTCCCTGCATGTTTGCTACACCATCAGTTATGTTTCCAACGCATTGTTTGAGGTCAAGATTCAACCCTTGAATAACTTCTGAAACTATCTGCACAAAAGCTTCGCCGGTAGTTTCTTCGCACTTCACAATGCTCACCTGTCTTTTTGGATGTTGCCAGTTTTATCCACATATTGAACGATAATGGAGCATTGGTCCTGAGTTGCTATGTCCTGCGTTGTGTCAATTTCCACAGCAAACATGTCAGTTATTTCTTCCGAAATGAAGCAACGGATCTTATCAGGAATAACCGTGATGATAGAATTAACAGCGGGTTTGGACAAAAAAGTAACAATTGAGCCTCTGCCTTTCTAACTGTTCGCGATCTCATTTTTTGTCTTGCTACTATGGACTACGCGAGAGAGGTGATAAGCTGTGCATAAATCATTTATTTGCGTAGCAACTTAACCATTTCCAGGAAAGTACCATGGTCAATTTCTGCATTGTCCAAAGTGTAGGCTGCCTCTTCCGTACTTCCTCTGTAGCTTAGTCCCCTCTTGCCTCTGAGTTTACATCCACAACTCGATTCATCACTTGCCGTGTCTTTCTGACTTCATCACGGTAGTCCTTCGCCAACACGAGAGAAAAACTTGATTGTTTTTTTATCAACCAGGTATGCTGTTGAGCATTACAGATGCAAAGACGAACGTCCATGCTGTTCAATACGAGAATGTATATGCCGCCAGTCTTTCATCCCCACAAGAAATGCGGATGTGTCTGAAGTGGCAGAGAACACCAAGCAGACAGAACAATGAAGTGCATGGGAGTCTTTGTTGTAAGACAGTCACCATCTGTTAGAACCGTCTTCACGAATGAAACATCTTTGCACCACTCGATTATCTGTCTTCTAACATGGATGATGGTTTCAAAACAACAATCTTTAAAGTAGTCAATCCAGAAATCTTCACTTCCTGTGGCTTCAAGTTCAGTACATGTATTTGCCGTCTGTTTTGTGCTAGCCATGAGCAAAGCTATCCCTTTCACTTGTTGGTTTAATTTCTCTCATTTCACTTGATGATGGTTCCGCAACTACCTCGTCAAGTTCAGTTGCTTCACCTGCTGATAGATCAGCATCCACTACTTTCGTCCACTTGGTCAAAATCCGATGTTTCAACTGCTGAAGGTCAAGCTGCATGCGCCAATATACTGCCTTCCTCCACATTTTCACCGCTTTCAGGCCCCTTTGCATCGGCTCTTTTGAACAGATGCCAAATATTTCGGCATTTTGATACACTTTCAGACAGTTTCTTATATTTTCGATCACGTTCCTTCTCCGCAGCTCCCTTTCTTCTTGTGTGGTTTGACTTATTCATTACCACTTTTCAGGCCTACAAACAATTGTAGATACGAGAAGTCTACCCGTGCTGAAGAAAAGCAATTATGAATTGACATTGTTGACTTCATATTCGAATAAACGTGGCCGTTTCGTTTTTCTACCCAACGACAAAAAAGACCATGATCAAACTAGAAAACAGTCCAGGAAAATCCTTAAAGTGGGAGTTGTAAACACTCTAACTGGTTTTATTGGTCGACATTTAAATTAATGGAACAAAGCTGCAGATCATAATGAGAATGGAGATTTTTTTTTCGAGGTTACAAATAGATTTCTTAAACATTGAAGAAAATGGAGTACTGGTCTTATAGCCTAAACACAGTAATCTGAAGAAAATTTTTTAACCCAGCGGCCCACTTTGTCCTTTCAGCGCCGGCCAACTTTTTCCCTTCGTCACCGGCCCAGGGGGTATTGCCCAAATGCCCATAGGCCAGTCCGCCTCTGCATAAACACATGCATAAATACACGATAAAAAACACCAACAGATGTACAGACAAACACAATATTCTGCTTTACATGATGCCGGGCAACAAACATGTGGATCCTAAATGGCAGCCACATAACCCAATCACATTTATTTGACTTAAATCACAGAACTGGGAGCAGGACCGCACCCTTTCTTTGTGGCACGGGGAAACACAGAAAATACAATTTTTTCTCCTTTTGTCAGAAAACCCGGCTGTACCGGTGTCTGTGGTTTAGAGGATTTTCGAGTTCGATTCCCTTCTCTTTTTTTGGGGGGGGGGGGGATTTTTATCGAGTATTTCGGACTTTTTACTGGAATGTTGTATGGCTCTCAGCCAGGGTTGGCCCAGGGTTGGCCCTAATGAACAGGGTGGGAAGCCCGCCCAATAAAAGGTCTAAATTGTGTCAACAGGGGCATAAAACTCTTACATAAACCCCCCTCCCCCCACGTCTGTTATTGTTTCCTGTGTTGCAAACACACATTTTCTCTTTCCTTTCTGCAGTATGGACAGCTCCGAAAAGTCAGCTCTGTTTATAGATACTAGCAAACTAATAATAATATTATTATTATTTGAAAATAAAAATCAATTTTGGCCATAATATACACGAATGCGTTCTCGGTTTTTCAAAAAGTTTAAGGATCTAAACTGCTGACCATTTTTTGAGGCTTTGCTTCATTCTTTTTAAATTTCTATCCTTCTCTCTGTTTTCTTGGCCCAAACAAAACACTTCAGACGTCCTACCGAAAAGATTAACATGTTACCTTTTGGGTTATTATTATATATTAAAATGTAGAAGTTTGAATCAGGGGTAACTTTTTGAAGGAATAATAATAATAATAATAATAATAATAATAATAATAATAATAATAATAATAATAATAATAATAATAATAATAATAATAATAATAATATAAATAGTAAAAATAATTATAATTTATAATAATATTAATAATAACAATAATTTATAATAATATTATTATTAATGCGCAGCTCGGCGCCAGTTTTCAGTGAGCTAAGGAGATAGACACCGCACAGCTTACCACCACCGAGTAGCCATTTTGGACATCTAGGCTGAAGGCGGTTTCCTTCTGGCAGCTGTACGTGTTGTTACTTCCCTCCTTCTGTACGGCCGCCGCTGCAACAATGAGAAAACAGCCGTGGATTGTAATGAATATTCAAAACTTTTACTTATAAGAGTCTGTCTTTGTTTTGTAAACCTCAAAGAGACAATTAATTCGTGGCGTCTGTGGTCTAGTGGTTAGTTAGGTTACCGGACTAATAATCGTGAGATTTCGGGTTCCGGGATTCGAGACTCAGCTCGGTCTGATGTTGTGTCCTTGGGAAAGACACTTTACATACACTAATTTTTCCATTTAGTTCGGCCTTATCGCAGATGGATATTAAATTCGAAGATTTCGTCTCTTTGTAAACAACTGAGGAACCATTATTATTTTTAGTGTATGCTCTTTACTATTCACATAAACAATACAAATAACAGTAGTTTACAAATAAAGTGAACAAGCAAACTTTGTAAAAGTAGTAACACATAGTCTGATCTACAATCAAACAAGTGCACTTTCTTGGTCTCTTAGCATAAAGAAATATTAAAACCGAGCAAGCGTGGGCTGCAGAGTGAGTTATACTATAACTTATTACGTATTCTTTGTAGAATAATGAAAGTTGCTACAAGGTTGTTTTTTTTTTTGTAACTACATGTATTTGTCTATCATCAAAGAAAATTTCACATATATTTATAACGTCATTAACATTCAAAACTGCATGTGTCAAAACAAGTGGCAGGGTACCTCTTTCAGAGCTAGAATGACAACCCCAAAGAGCTTCGCTTCAAGCAATATGCTGTGATTGAGTCTCTTTCTGGAGAAGGTTGTTCTGCAGTAAACATTTATTATGAAACGATGGGATTTGTTCTTGGTGAGGTTTTTGCTTTTGTTAGTACCCTGAGGCGATGTGCAAGATATTTGAAAAGAGACAAAATCAGACGATCAAATGTGAACTGGTATGCCACAGAGTGCTTCTCATTCAATGAATCAAGATAAGACAGAGATCATGATAATGGCCGATCATTGACTTTAGCAAAAAGACATTGCAATCGAAGCCAGAATATCCAAAGAACATGTTTATCCCATCGTTACGGACATCCTGGTTTATACGAATATGTCTGCCATTAGGGTCGTTCGAATGACAACTGAAACAAAAGATCAGCGAAAAATTATGTGCACCAAACTCTTGAAACAGTTTGAATTTGATCAAGAAGATGATGCTTTCCTGTATAAAATTGTAACCAGTGATGAGTCATGGACGCATCACTATAACCCAGAAAGAAACCACCAGTCGAAGGAGTAAAAGCACACAAACTACCCCTGGTCCGAAAAAAATTTCCAAGTTGTGGCCTCAGCTAGAAAAGTGCTGTACACCATTTTCTGGGACTGGGAAGGCTTAGATAGTGCATATTCCGTTTCTGGAACAGGGGAAGACAATGAACTAAAAAAAAATCATGTTGCAGCTTTACATAAGCAAAAAGCCAAGCTGAGCAATACTGCAGCTTGACAGAGCGCGCCCACACACAAGTCGAAAGACCCAAGACATCATGAGACAGTTGAATTTCTCCATCCAGGGCATCCTTCATCATAGTCTGGATCTTACTCCTTCGAACTTTTTCCTTTTGCCATGGCTAAACGAGTAATTGTTTACGTTTCGTTGTTGTCAGGTTTCGAATCCGGGGCCCTTTAAATGATAGTCGAATTCCGTCCCTCTAGACAACAAGTGCGCACAATAAATCGAATGATAGAAAACAAGAAAAATGAATAAATCAAATCAAAATATGCAAATTGGATATTATATATAATATATAGCTGCCAGTTCAGTTCACAGCCCTGTGGGACATAACGTTGCATCCAAAGAAAGGTTCATTACCCCATTTTCCTCAGATCACGCCAGAGCAAAACGGGTAGAGAATGAACCACATTTTATTATTTTGTAATATTGTCTGTACGTATGGTAATCTGCATACCGTGTGGCGTTCACGTACTCTCTGAATTATTAGGATAAGACATTGTTTAAAACGTTATAACCCTAATTTTCAAATAAGGATCCATAAAAGTGATTCTTTTTTTTTCGCCCTGTCCTTTTTACACACACACACACACACACACACACACACGCACACACACACACACACACGCACACACACACACACACACACACAAACACACACACACACACTCACTCACTCACACACACTCACTCACTCACTCACTCACTCACTCACTCACTCACTCACTCACTCACTCACTCACTCACTCACTCACTCACTCACACACACACACACACACACACACACACACACACACACACACACACACACACCAAAAGAACCTTCCATGTTTTTTCCCTTTCTCCTGTCCTTTTCGGCATTTTCAAACCATTTGGACAAGTGCAGCGCTGTTCAGTCCCCACCCCTCCAAACAAAAACAAAATGAAAGAAAAACGAAACAAACTAGCAAACAAAAAAGAACCACACACACACACACACACACACACACACACACACACACACACACACACACACACACACTCACACACACACACACACACACACACACACGCAAAACCACACCAACAAAACAACGCCACCAACAAGGAATATGAGTCTGACCTTTACAAGACTCTTCCTTGATGTCTGTGATGATGGAAGCCAGTTCGGAAAAGCCGCTCAGTTCTCTCATGTGGATGCATTTGGGAGTGGACGCGATGGCGTTGAGTTCCTGTAAGTTTGTTCCGGATCCCACACCTGATTGAGAAACAACAAAAACACAAAGGAAGCTTTTAATATTGCTATGATAAATTATAAATTATCTCCTGACAAATAATCTTGTTTATCGCATCGTAATTATATGCAACCAGTTGTCTTAACTTCTGTAAAGTTCAACGCTTAAGTTTTTGAGGACGTAGCAGACACATAGTCCGATTAGCAGCATAGCAAAGGAAACGTTTCAGCACATTTAGAAGCATCATACACAAATCAGAAACACAAGCTTGCGTATGTCATGGCATGGACACCGTTGCATGTCTTATAAAGTTTCAAATACAAATAAAGTCGAAAAACTTGTTTGAATTACGAAATTATGTCTCAAAACAGCACTCCTTCATACGCTGTTGGATGATCGGAATGCACGTTCTCAGTGTTCTACAATTCCGATGACTTTATCTTCCGTAGGCTGGGTAATTGTCTCAAGTCTCCAAATCCCAATGTTTCGGTCAAAGTCGTAGCTAGGTGTTCCGAAGCAAACTGTGCAGTCATCACAAGAAATAATGCTGTTTTTTCATGATAAGGTAAACAAATGGAACGTTTTTTTTTGTTTAGACCCAGTTCTTCTAAGGCCAAATGCTTATATAAATTACGAGCCTAATATTAATATGAGTTAAATTATTCATGGTTGACCTTAATTAACTTTATACAGCCAAATACATCCCTAACTTGGAGTTTAACAGAATGTTTGAATTTTGCTTGGAGTCTATGTAATAAACATTACATTTTGTCCAAATACATTCAAACTTTGAATGTATTTGAATTTTTTATGAGGCGTGAAACTTTCATTATTCTATTGGACTTCTAAGGCCATGTACTTATACACATTATGAGCCTAATACCAATATGAGTTTAATTTCTTGGTCGACCTTAATTATAACCTCATACAAAGATTTGGATTAACACCTGTAAAATAATATCTTGAGTTTTTCTGTTCTTTGCCACAACAACAACCAAAACTAGCCCAAATCTGAAGTTTTACAGAATGTCTTAATTTTGTTTGGAGTCTACTTAATAAACATTAACTTCTTCCAAATAATTCAAACTTAGAATATTTGAACTTTCTATGAGGCGTGAAACTTTCTATACAACAATTGACTTAACTATAAATCACATTTGATTTTTTAAAATGTATACATTGACTCATAACTGTATTTCTGTTCAACTGTTTGTTTGATTATAGTTGTTTGATTTCCCATTCAACAAACATAATAATAAATCACCAGTCAAACAAATATGAAGTTACCAGTCCATAAGCTTTTAAACTTGATAACCTCACATTTCTAGTTTATGCCCAATTTTTCCTGAGCTCTTCATTTGTATAACTCAAATTCTCTCTCAGCAGCAAGCTCTAGAGCTATGCGCATTACAATCTATACTATTATCCCTGCAGACCTGACAGCATTCTGAAACAATCTCAACTTCCTGGGAAGCATACAGTGCAAACCCTCATTTATAGGCGTCATAACACTAACATATTGACAAGATCTTCGCTGTTTATGGCCAGGTACTCATTCCAACCTGGTTGAAGTGAGGATGGTTCGTGTAAAGTGCCCTTCTCAAGGACACAACGTCGAGCCTGCAACCCGAACCCCCAAACTCGCAACCTCACGATTACGAATCGAGTAACCTAACCCTTGAGAACAGATGCCAAATGTGCTCACCAATGGCAAAAACTGACACATCCTTGCTTTTCAGACGCTCTGCGCTGGCGTTGGTCATCGACAGAATGGAGTAACCGTCGGTCGCTAGTACTGCCACCCGTGATGCACCTGGACGCGTTGACTGCCAAAGGGACATGAGGTAACCAATAGTTAGAGAAGGCAAAAGGAAGACTGAAACGTTTCACGTTTTGTTCAGTATTGTATAATAATCTTCACATAGTCACTGAATTGACTCCACTAGAAATGGGTTGTTTGTTTTGTTTGTTTGTTTGTTTTTATTTATTTATTTGTTTGTTTTTATTTTTATATATTTTTTGGGTCTCTTTTGCCCTTTTTTGTGTGTGTGTGTGTGTGTGGGGGGGGGGGGTATTGATACAAGAAGGAATACAACCCATCGAATATTTTCATTGCCTTATATGGAGGGCATGCAGGCTAACATGGACGATGTCATTTCAAAACAGTGTGCCCGAACTCAGTGTCAGCCAATGAATGATTAGAAGAATGACTACTAAGACGTCAAAATATAAAGCGTACCCTCACAACACCTTTGTTTCATTCTTATTTCTCCGGGACCCTTTCCCTGTATCCGAATGAGGTGTAAAGAATGGAAATCCCAGCCATTTTGTAAACGTTTAAGTTATGTTGTTTCCACGCAGTTGCTGTTCCTGTCTATCCTTATAAATTTGTTTTGATATCGCTCTGTTTGTAGTATAGAATAGATGTACAATTCGTGGTGTGATGCTATAAATGTGTTGTTGTTTTTTCTCCCCTTCCCCCCTTTTTTAACCTCCAAAGCCATAGTTGTTGATGCTCAAGAAAGGCTGCCAATCGATAATCATGTCTTATAATAACATATATTGTCAGATCATCAGAACACTCTTTGCATATTTACTATTTAAACTACACCCAATAGTTAGACATAATATTATAAGGATACGCCCATTGCCCCACCCCCCCTCCTCCCACAAAACTTTAATACTCGGTAAGTATAAATATGACTTCCCTTAATTTTTATAACACTATTGTCCTGCGCTGGGTCAGCCAATGAACGCTTAGAAATCGTATTAATATCATCAAAATAATATATATAGAGTGCACGTTTAGCTCACCTTGGTTAAGATCTGATTACGTCGGAAACGTTCCTTTGTATTCTCATGAAAGGCAATACGTCTTGTTGACGATAGTAGACTGAGTCATCCTTTAAAACTGACTTCTTGTTGTTGCTACTAGATACATATATATATATATATATATATATATATATATATATATATATATATATATATATATAGAGAGAGAGAGAGAGAGAGAAATAGATAAGCTTACGGTATTCGAGAACAACGTGTCCGCTGCTTCATCTAAAGCCAACCAGGTGGAAGTTCCGCCAGATATTTTAGGAATTCTCAGAACTGCATTCTTTGCACTCGAGGATGAATTGTAGACACTGAAGTTAAAATGGGTCTGCAAAATTGTCAAAGAAAAATAGTAAACTTGAGAAAGTTACACAAGACTAAAGTAACATGCACACTTGCTTAAAAATATGTATGTTGCTGTCACATTATTCACAACCACTCTTCCTCTGCGTCAACACATTCCTTTTGTTGCTGTAGTTTTGGAGTTGTTTCATTTGTTGCTTTTCTTTTAAATTCAGTCTTTGTTGCTGCTGCTCTTGTTGCTTCCAGGCTACTACACTTGCTTCCATGACACAAGGGTTTGTCTTTTTGCCTTGCATGTAAAATCAAGTTCGATTCCCGTACAAATAAGACCTTTAATCGTCTTCAGTCTTTTTTTGGGGGGTTATCATCCCACAGTCTGGATTGACCCTGATGCACAAGGTCAAAGTAGCCAGCGTCCTAATCGATTTTGTATCATTAGGAAAGTAAAACATTTACAACAGTAAAGAACGTAGTGTTTCGTACCCTCCATAACACTACAGCAAATAACAGATGCCATTTTTCATTTGTAACTGATCGTAATGCAACATAGTGATGTATCGGAAAGAGGACATCTGGTATGCGTGTGAGGCATCCGAGCTGTGATAACAACGACATGTGTGATAGGAATGTGATGGCTCAGACTGTCCATTAGACACGTACCGACGTTATATAAATCTATAAATATGTTCATTATGTGTTCGCCTACATCAAACTTTTGAGATCCATGCACTTCTTTCTCTCAACTACTCAAACACTACATTTCATTACAGGTTAAAAAAAACCCTGTGTTTGTGAAGGCATCATGTTATCCGTCATTAGTGACGAAAAAAGTAAGTGAATGAGGACGACAAACACACACACACACACACACACACACACACACACACACACACGCACACACACACGCACACACACACACACACATGCACAGAGAGAGATAAAGAGAGAAAGAGCGTGTGTGTGTGAGTGTGTGTGTGTGTGTGTGTGTGTGTGAGTGTGTGTATGTGTGTTTGTGTGTGCGTCTGTGTGTGTGTGCATG